TACAAGGAAGACTCATTAATGCCACTATTATTCAAATTTATGCATCAACCACCAAAGCCAAAGATGAGGAAATTGAAGATTTTTATCAACTTCATAGTGTGAAATTGACCGAACTTGCAATCAGGATATGTTAATTATCACTGGTGACTGGAATGCAAAAGTTGGAAACAAAGAAGAATCACCAGTAGTTGCAAAATTTGATCTTGGTGACAGAAATAATGCCGGAACTCTCATGGTAGAATTTTGCAAGATGAACGACTTGTTCATTGCAAACACCTTTTTTCAACAACACAAACAGAGGCCATACACATGGACTTCACCAGATGGAACACACAGGAATCAGACTGACTACATCTGTGGCAAGAGGTGATGGAGAAGCTCAATATCTTCAGCCAAAACCAGGCCAGGAGCTGATTGTGGAACAGACCATCAACTGCTCATATGCAAGTTCAACTTGAAGTTAAAGACAATTAAAACAAGTCCATGAGAGCCAAAATATGATCTAGAATATATCCCTCCTGAATTTAGAGACCATTTAAGAATAGATTTGATACATTGAACACCAATGACCAGAAACCAGATGAATTGTGGGATGACATCAAGAGCATCATTAATGAAGAAAGCGAGAGGTCACTAAAAAGACAACAAAAGAAGAGAAGACCAAAATGGATGACAGAAGAGACTCTGAAACTTGCTCTTGAGTGGAGAGTAGCTAAAGCAAATGGAAGAAATGACAAGATAAAAGAATTGAACCAAATATTTCAAAGAGCAGCTTGAGAAGACAAAACCAATCACTATAATGAAATGTGCAAAGGCCTGGAGTTAGAAAACCAAAAAGGAAGAACATGCTCGGCATTTCTCAAGCTGAAAGAATTGAGGAAAAAATTTAAGCCTCAAGTTGCAATATTGAAAGATTCTAAGGGCAAAACATTGAATGATGCAGGAAACATCAGAAGATGGAAGGAATACACAGAGTCACTGTACCAAATAGAACTGGTCGATTTTCATTCATTTCAGGAGGTGGCATAAGATCTAGAACCAATGGTACTAAAGGAGAAAGTTGAAGCTGCAATGAAAGAACTGGCAAAGAACAAGGCTCCAGAAATTGATGGAATACCCATTGGGATATTTCAACAAATGGATGCTGTGCTGGAGGCACTCATTCAGTTTTGCCAAGAGATTTGGAAGACAGCTACCTGGCCAACTGACTGGAAGAGATCCATATTTGTACCCATTCCAAAGAAAGGTGATCCCACAGAATGTGGAAATTATCGAACATTATCATTAATACAAGGAATTCACGTTGCTTGGTTCTACAATCGATGCCAATGGAAGCAGCAGTCAGGACATTAGATGACGTGTAGCATTGGGAAAGTCAACTGCGAAGGAACTGTTTCAAGTGCTGAGGAGCAAGGATAGCTCCTTGAGGACTAAGGTGCTCCTGACACAAGCCATGATATTTCCAATCGCCTCGTATGCATGTGAGAGCTGGACAATGAATAAGGAAGACCGAAGAAGAGTTGATGCTTTTGAGTTGTGGTGCTGGCGAAGAATGTTGAAAGTACCATGGACTGCTAAAACAACTAACAGTTCTGTCCTGGAGGAAGTGCAGCCAGAATGCTCCTTGGAAACAAGAATGGCCAGACTTTGTCTCACCTATTTTGGTCATGTTGTCAGAAAGGACCATTCCCTGGAGAAGGATGTCATGCTTGGTAGGGTGGAGGGTTGACGAAAGAGGGGGAGGCCTTCAACGAGATGGATTGATATGGTGGCTGCAATGATGAGCTCAAGTATAGCAGGGATTGTGGAGCTGGCACGGGATAGGGCAGTGTTTCGTTCTGCTGTGCATGGGGTTACTATGAGTCAGAAACGACTTGATGGCACTTAACAACAACAACATCATTAATATCACACGCAAGTAAGATCTTACTGAAAATAATTCAAAAATGGTTGCAGCAGTATATTGACAGGGAACTTCCAGAGGTGCAAGCTGGATTCAGAAGAGGATGTGGAACAAGGGATATCATAGCTGCTGTCAGATGGATCTTGGCTCAAGGCAAAGAATACCAGAAAGGTGTTTACTTGTGCATTATTGACTATGCAAAGGCATTTGATTGTGTGAATCATGACAAATTATGGATAGCATTGAGAAGAATGGGAATTTCTGAACACTTGATTGTACTCATGAGGAACCTGTACCTTGACCAGGAGGCTGTCATTTGAATGGAACAAGGGGACACTACATGTTTTAAAATCAAGAAGGGAGTGCATCAGGGTTGTATCCTTTCCCCACACTTATTAAATTAATATGCTGAGGAAATAATCCAAGAAACTGGACTATATGAAGGGAAACATGGCATCAGGATTGGAGGAAGAATCATTAACAACCTGAGATATGCAGACGATACAACTTTGCTTGCTGAATATGAGGATGACTTCAGGCACTTACTGATGAAAGTTGAAGAATACAGTCTGCAGTATGGATTACATCTCAATATAAAGAAAACAAAAATCCTCACAACTGGACCTATAAGCAGCATCACAGTAAATGGAGAAAAGATTGAGGTTGTCAAAGAATTCATGTTGCTTGGTTCTACAATTGTCGCCAATGGAAACAGCAGTCAGGACATTAGAAGATGTGTAGCACTGGGCAGGTTGCCTGTGAAGGAACTCTTTCAAGTGCTGAGGAGCAAGGATTTCTGCTTGAGGACTAAGGTGTGCCTAACACAGGCCATGATATTTCCATTTGCCTCATATGCACGTGAGAGCTGGACAATGAATGAGGAAGACCGAAGAAGAGTTGATGCTTTTGATTTGTGGTGCTGGCTAAGAATGCTGAAGGTACTATGGACTACCAAAAGAACTAACAGATCTGTCCTGGAGGAAGTGCAGCTGAGATGACTCTTGGAAGCGAGGATGGCCAGACTTCGTCTCACCTATTTTGGTCATGTTGTCAGAGAGGACCATTTCCTGGAGAACGAGGTCATGCTTGGTAAGATGGAGGGTTGACAGAAGAGGGAAAGGCCTTCTACGAGATGGATTGACATGGTGGCTGCAACAATGGGATCAAGTATAGCAAGGATCATGGAGCTGGCGTGGGATTGGGTGGTGTTTCATTCTGCTGTACATGGGGTCGCTATGAGTTGGAAGTGACTCGACGGCACCTAACAACAACAACAATGTGGAAGGGAAATTTAGTAGAGAGAAACAGGTTTCTCAATTTCCTGGCTCTCCCAAAGGGAAAGTGGAAACAGAAAATAGGAAACGGGGAGAAGTAATATTTAGTTTATTTCATTCAAGCCTCAAAGCAACAGGTGAGATGCTGAAAGTGATTTCCTTGTGACAGAGGAAGAAAGAACCCAAGGTTCCATGAGGCAGCATTCTCTGGTCCAGGCTTTCACTGTGCTCTGCGTCCCCTGATGACATCATGCTGCTTCTTCTGGGTAGCCACTGTGCCTCTGAGAACCCTGAGCATCAGTTGAACCACTTGCAACTTTCTATGCAACATATATTAAATGATGGTACACTGTAAGACTTTCAGAACCAATCCATCTTTTATTAATCAAGTCTTTATTTACACATCTTTTTTAGAAAGCATGAAAGTATCTCAAATCTTGGACCACTCTTTGGTATTAACATATTGTAATTCCTGAAGACAAGAGTAAAAAAATGAGTGATCTAGATTTTAATATTGCACTCATATTTTCCTTGTATATAGCAATAAAATATACCTGTAATTCAGATTTAAAATACATTAGCTCATTCAGGGTATGGTGTTTAAAAATGAAATGGAAGTGTCAATTGCATCTTTCTCTTTTTAAAACAGACCAGTAGCATCCTAATTTTCTTAAATTCAGTTAGTTAAACAGAGTTTTGTTTGTTGCTTCAGATGGAGTGAAGCTACACTACTAGTAGGATGAAAAAAAGAATTTTTGAGTAAGCTATTGCCTGTTTTTGAGCAGAGCTGATGTTTTACTTGCTCTGGGCAGGAGCCCAGGTGGTCGGGTCAGCGAGAGAGCGCAGCTAGCGGCTGCGCTGTCCTGCGCTCAGAACGCGCAGGCGGGGTGCACAGAGGAGTGTGTTGCTTGTTCATCTGGGTGAGCACCCTGAGCGGAGGCCAGACCTGACGGTTCCTCTCACTACTGCTCCAGGAAAGGCAGACCCTTTTCCCTGCCGGCCAGGTAAGGGCAAGATTGCTGTTGAGCTTGGTGTTACCGAGAATGCGGAAAAACCTAGGGGAATAGAAGCCCACCACAGAGTAATTATGTTGGGTGACCCGGGTTCTCTAGGTTGTCTTAAGGCTGGGGAGATAGGTTTGCATTTTAAGTAAAAGGTTAAGGACTCTTTTCTCTAGCAGGGCGCTTTGGTGGGGCAGGAGTTAAGGCATTCGGCTGCTAACCAAAAGGTCATGATTGGAACCCAACAGCCACTCCGTGGAAGAAAGATGAAGCAGTCTGCTTCTGTAAAGATTTACAGCTTTTGAAACCCTATGAGGTAGTTCTACTCTGTCCTATAGAGTCGCTATGGGTAGGAATCGACTTGTGGCACTGCGTTTTGTGTTTCCTTTTAGTACTTCGTTTGATATAGTCAGTCAACTGGCTGGAATGAGATTTCAACAGGTAGCAGAGAGCGATCACGTGGGGGAGGCTTGCGGCGCCGCCTGCGGTGCTGGGGACCACTCCTCTCTTCTCTCGCTGCCTTCGATTGGGACCCAACTCATAGCGACCCCTCCTTGGGTTTCCAAGGCGATATCACTAAGGAGTAGATTGCTCAACCTTCCTTCCGAGAAGTGGCTGATGGATTCGAACCACCAGCCTTCTAGTTATCAGTCAAATGCCTTAGGCATTACGCCACCGGAACTCCCTCTCTAACAGCTAACCCTTGCTTTCCAATCTTCTTCCAGCCCAGAGTTGCAGCGACCCGCGGCCGGCGTAGACAGGACCGCTGCTCCCCTGCACCGGCAGGAGAAGAGCTGGGAACCCACGTGAGACACCGCGGAGATGAACTACGCATCGTCCTCCGGGCCAGGGTTGGCCAACTCTTCTTGCCCGGACCCCACGCCAGGCTGCTTCAATGAATCGAACCCGCCGCCGCTGCCGCAGCCGCTGGCGGTAGCAGTGCCTGTAGTGTACGCGCTGATCTGCGCCGTGGGGCTCACGGGCAACTCTGCTGTGCTGCTGGTGCTACTGCGAGCGCCGCGTCGGAGGACCGTCACGGACCTGTTCATCCTCAACCTGGCCATCGCCGATGAGCTCTTCACCCTCGTGCTGCCTGTCAACATAGCCGACTTCCTGCTGCGCCAGTGGCCCTTCGGGGAGCTAATGTGCAAACTCATTGTGGCTATCGACCACTACAACACCTTCTCCAGCCTTTACTTCCTCACCGTTATGAGCGCCGACCGTTACCTCGTGGTGCTGGCCACTGCGGAATCGCGCCGGGTGGCCGGCCGGTCGTACGGCGCCGCGCGCGCTGTGAGCCTAGCCGTGTGGTGCCTTGTCACGCTCGTCGTGCTGCCCTTCGCCGTGTTCGCGAGACTCGACGACGAGCAGGGACGGCGTCAGTGCGTGCTGATCTTCCCGCAGCCAGAGGCCTGGTGGTGGCGCGCAAGTCGTCTCTACACTCTGGTGCTGGGCTTCGCCCTCCCGGTAACCGCCATCTGCGCCCTGTACATCTCCCTGCTATGCCGGCTGCGCTCCATGCGGCTAGACAGCCATGCCAAGGCCCTGGATCGCGCGAAGAAGCGAGTGACCCTGCTGGTGGTGGCCATCCTGGCCGTGTGCCTACTCTGCTGGACGCCCTACCACCTTAGCACTGTAGTGGTGCTCACAACCGACCTCCCGCAGACTCCCCTTGTCGTCGCTGTGTCCTACTTCATCACCAGCTTGAGCTATGCCAATAGTTGCCTCAATCCCTTTCTCTATGCCTTTCTGGACGACAACTTTCGCAGGAGCCTCAATCAGCTGCTGGCGTGCCGTGCTGCCCCCTGACCGGCCTCCCTCCTGGTTCTTGCCAGCTGGCCTTGGCCTGCTGCGTAGAAAGAGAGGGGAGAGGTTCTTAGAGCGAGGTCCCCGGTGGCAACACCGGAGTCCTCTTGAAAGCCACTAGAAATACTTTCTTGGGCCCCACTCCAGACCTATTGCACCTGAAATGCTTAGGTTACAGAACGTGCAAGATAATGAAGATGTTCGCGCCAACTTCAGGACCATAGCGGATGCCAACAACATACTGAAGCTTTCTAAAGCTGGGGGGTGGGGGTGGGCGGGGAACTGAACTGGCTCTGACGCTTGGTGCTGTGGGAATTAAGGAGAGGAAGAAGTCAGCGGTCAGCATTTCTGGGGCATCCTTGTCCTTCGCCACTCCCCTTCCCGAGGTGGTCGGTATCCAGAACGCTAGGGGGAGCCCTGGGCTAGCTGACATCGCGCTGACCTCTGCACTTTGCTGCGCCGGTGTCCCACAGCAACTGACTTTCACTTTTGCTTGCTATGTACAGTCCCACCTGGGCCCCTTCCCTGTCCTCGCCCGGGTAACCGCTGAAGAAGGTGGTAAAGGCAGTGAAGTTTCTGTGCCCTTCCCTGGGAGTAGTGCGGAACTCGCGGAGTGGGAGCAGAAGGCAGCCTAGTACCAAGGGACAGCACAACAGCCCGACCACGTGTGTGTGTGTGTGTGTGTGTGTGTGCGCGCGCGCGCGCTCGCGCGTGCTCCAAGGCAGGCATGGGATGGAATAAAAGGGGACTTCTTTTGCTTTTCTCCTTTCCTTCCCCTCCCTTAGCATGAAAATGTGCCACGACCCTTACACTCTGAGGGGACCCCTCTTGCCAGGCTCAAGGGGGTCTAACTTGAAGGACTCACTCAGACGCACAGTACCTGCACACTTGAAGGAGCCAGATTTCCAGAGCTGGGCATCATAACGAAATTTAGCACTTTTAGGGTGGAGTGCACCTGTTGAACCTACCATGGACACCTCGGAGTTACTGCTTCTTTTTTTTTTTTTTTTTTTTGCCCCAATGGACCTCTCATACAACTCAGACCAGTTAGCTGTAAGTTTTGTTTTCCATGACTATGAACTTGATAAATTATATACATATATTGTACTCGCATAAGTTGTATAAGGCATGGATAACATGAAAGTAAGTGCAATCAATTTGCTCTGCTATTCCTTTTCATCCTTCTCCTGTATTTTTTGGCCCTTTTCCCTCATATACCTCAGGCACATTCATATTTCCTGTGCTGAAGTCCTTTATACCATATACTTCAGTCTCAGAGGATACCTGATGGTCTGGATGAACCTGATAAATACCTCTGTTCTTGCAGGAAGGGCCGGCTAGTACCCTACCTTTATTTTATCTCTATTTATGGGAGACCTGGAAACTCTGGTGGCAGAGTGCCTAAAGCATTTGACTGCTAACCAGAAGGCTGGAGGTTCAAACCCACAAGCCACTCCTTGGAAGGAAGGTGGGGCAATCTACTTCTGCAGTGATGTTGTTGTTGTTGTTGTTATGTGCCGTCGAGTTAGACCTGACTCATAGCGACCCCTCCTTGGGTTTCTGAGGCAGTATCACTACTGAAGTAGGATTGCCCAACCTTCTTTCCGAGGAGTGGCTAGTGGGTTTGAACCGCCAGCTGTCTGGTTAACAGTCAAGTGCCTTAGCCACTATGCTACCAGAGCTCCCTCTGTAGTGATAGCACCTGAGAAACACAAGGAGGGGTCACTATGAGTCGAAATGGACTCAGTGGCAGTGAGTTTGGCTTGGTTTTATGGGAGTCCCAAGGATTAAGAGAGAAGGCTGACTCTTGGGCCTGTCCATCCATCTTCCATGGGTTACCCCTCCAAGGTAAGGGCAAAATTTCACAAGTAGATTGTTGTCAGTGACCATCACGATGTTTTAAAAAGCATTTTTCTTTGGGATAAATTCCAAGCAGGAGTGAAAATTTTGGAAAGTGTTTTTGTCTTCAGGCAAGACTCACTGCTGTGTGAGAAAGAGTGAGTGTTTTTTTGACTTTGATTAGTGTTATCAAATTTTCAGTTATTTAGGTTCAAAATGCCTTTTGAAAAAACATGTGAGAGGGGAAAATTCTTCCTTGGAAGGTGGGAAGGATACCCATTCTGTGACGTAGGTGAATGATAGTTGCTTCCTTAGCCTTAAAGTGATTAGGAGTATTAAGATAATTCATAGCTATCAGTTTAGAAAATGTAAATTTAAATGCCTTTTGCTTTGGGTAGTAAAAAATAGTAATTGCTCAAAATAAAACTGCATCTTCAGTGCATTTTTAACAGTGGACATCATTGCATTTAAATAATCGTCTGCTAGGGGGCTTTAAAGGTATCTTGGAATTAATTTCAGAATCTTTCATATTTCTAGGAAATATTTCACTTTATGGCTCACAAAATTCTTTTATGTGATTTTTGTGAAGTGTTAAATTTAGAGTAATTGCCAGATCATCTAAGGTGATTGACAGAGAGAACAACAGTGTACATTTGGCACACATATAGCCAGATGTGATTATCTAGAGTCTAACCTCATCTGTCTTCATGAACTCATTAGCTGTGCATGGACAGCCCTGAACGTTGGGGGAGAACAGAGTAATCCATGTGTCCGCTGCACAGTCCCCTCCTACAGATCGAATCTGGAGCTGTCTCAGCATCTAAGGAGAAGACTACTAAGAACATATCAGCCTAGCACTGCCGTGCCACCCACAACAAGGCAAGAACTGGCATTCTAGTGAATGTGTGTAATTAAGTTGAACTCAGTGGCTCAGTTCGCCCATGCTTTCAAAATTACTTGATAAACTGTTTTTTTTTTTTTTTTTTTTTTATCATTTCGATGTTCTTGCCCTTTGTTAGCATGCAGAAGCCCAGATTGTATGTCTCAGATTTCCTTTATAAAAAGGCCTTCTTAGGTAATAGTTTGAAGAAGTATGCAAATAACCTTGCAGAAAGTAGAATTGATTTAGTTCACTGTGTTGCAAAGATTGTAATTGTGTGCTGAATTCTTGTGGTGGTCATGTAAATTAAATTGCTTGATGTTACCATTTCTGAGATTTAAAAATGTCCATTTGGTTTCATTTAACTTAATACAGTAATGTAATGTATTTGCTTATATTTTCTCTTCAGAAATGTTGAAACCTTGCTATTCCACTGCAGAGAAGCTCAGTCTAAAATAAAAGCTGAAACATTCTGTGTGATCAGTGACTATTCTATTGCCTGAGAACATGGGGTCCATAATTCAGGCATTATTAATTTTGTTTAAATATTTTTTAATGCTCCTTCCATAAAAAAAAAAAATTATATATCTAGTAGACAAACAATGAATAAAGAAACAAAGAGAAATATTTGACAGAGCAGGATTGAGAATGAGAGTTCCTCCTTCTCCCTCCTTAGCTCTTTATTTTGGTTGATTGTGAAAATGACTGCAAAGGTGTTGGTTCACGCAAAGACTCTAGAACATATGCTAGGTGTTGTTGTTATTGTTGTTATGTGCCATCGAGTTGGACCCGACTCATAGCGACCCCTCCTTGGGTTTCTGAAGCAGTATCACTATGGAAGTAGACTGCCCCATCTTCCTTCCAAGGAGTGGCTGGTGGGTTTGAACTGCCAGCCTTCTGGTTAGCAGTCAAGTGCCTTCGGCACTATGCTACAATCACTAACTTGTTTCTTGAGTATTTATCCAGCATTTTGTGGAGGTTGGGAAGGGGAGAAATGGCATCTGTGTTGCTCTTCCAGTTAGTGGTATGCATAGCTGTGGCAGAATCACATGCAAGGAAGGGATCTCACATGGAAAAATCCTTCTCTCAGCAACATGCTGGGGAAAACAGCAACAACAAACAATATCCTGCTGTGGATGGTGGTTGGTATGCTGACCCATATTAGGGAAAAGACCATGAGTGCTTCATGTGATGCTCCTTTAATTGGACAGGTATGGGTCTGGTACTATGGTGCTCACTTTACATACAAAGAAAGTGTGATACAAGGAAGTGGATCAATATAGTCAGTGCTTGGCAAGGCCAATGAAGGCCAACCAGCACATATTTAATAATAAAAAATTCAGTCCTTACTCAGAGTCTTTGGCAGTATACAGGGTTGTTACAGATTATATAAGAAGGCAAAGAGCTCTGGTGGTATAGTGATTAAAGCATTCAGCTGCTAACCAAAAGCCACTTGAGGGGAGAAAGATGAAGCAGTTGGCTTCCATAAAGATTGGAAACCCTATGGGAGAGATCTACTCTGCCCTATAGAGATGCTATGAGTCAGAATCTACTTGATGGCAGTGTTTTTTTTTTTTTTT